TATTTGTGTTAAAATGTCCATTCTAGGCCCTGGCTGTGTAATTCAGTTGGTTAGAGCGTTGTCCCAATATTCCAAGGTTGCAAGTTAGATCCCTGGTCAGGGCACATATAAGAATTAACCAATGAATGGCATAAATAACTGAAACAACAAATCACTGTTTCTCTCTTTCTCCTCTGTCTGTCTGTCTGTCTCTCTCAAATATAATAAATAAAAAGAAAAATCCAAACTGGGGGAGCCCAGCTGAGTGTTGACCTTTGAACCAGGAGATCACACAATTCAATTCCCACTCAGGGCACATGCCTGGATTGCAGACCTGCTTTGCAGGCTTGGTCCCCAGTAGGGGGCATTCAGGAAGCAGCTGATCTATGATTCCCTCTCATCATTGATGTTTCTATCTCTCTCTACCTCTCCCTTCCTCTCTGAAATCAATAAAAATATATTTTAAAAATTGGGGGAAATCAACAAAAATGCAGTCTTGTTGAATGGGCCCATTGAAACAAGAATCTAGACTTAGAATTTATGAGCTGCAGACCAAAGCTCAACCAGGGGCTAGGACAGTGTTTGGGTTACCTATGTAATGTTTCTAAAGGTCAAAGATAAATAAAATCTATTGTAACACAAACTCAAATGTTATCCTACATCAGACCCTCTAGCTACAGGAGCCATGAAGACCTCATCTTCTGCTCTCATTTAGTGACCCTGATCCCGGTAGTGCTAAGTTTCTGCTACTGATGAAGGCAAAAGAAAGTAAAGGTTCCCTAAGGTTCTCTCTGTGCCAGAACATTTAACTTAGCTCAAACGCAACTTTTCCAAAGTAAACATTTTAATTGATCATTTCTTTTTAGTATGCAGCCTCCCTTAAGGAATCATCAATCATAGCCGAACCTTAGTCACCACTGAAGAGTTTTGAAAAGGTATCATAAGTTTCATAAAGTCGGGGTAGTCTACATGCTACAAATTGTCAATATTTTCAAAATGATTACCACTGGAGTTAAAGCTAAGGCACATAATAT